GCATTTTCCTCTGGACGGCTGTCGAGATGAACGATAAAAATACGAGACCTCTAGGCTTGGTTGGATACGTTCGTGACGCTGAAGACTGTATGGAGCCGCTTCTTTTTGGTGACATCCATATGAACTATCTAGCGCTTTCTGTCTCCTCACCACGCTAGGGAGTTGAAAGTCTTGAGACGGAGTGTGACGGAGGAAGAGATGGAGGGCTGGGAGCCCTTGATCTTCTTCTGTCAACGGGGATGGAAGGAACCAAGACATCGTCCTCGCCCTCGTCCTCGTCCTCACCCTCATCCCGAACGTCCATCAATTCGTCCGGTGGCTCCGCTTCCTCCATCGTTCCCGGAAGAACGATCACAAGGGATCTATCAATCGATTGGACGTCCACTGATTGGGCCCGCGGCGTTCCTACGGGCGTTGAGCCGACCGATTCGTTTCTATCCCTATGGGACCCGTCACGTCCAGTCGTCAACTCCGGCGTACTCCGGTTACTGTCAAATCGGAACGTGTTTCCGGTTGCCAGTTCATATTCTGGCATCAGCAGACTCCAATCCCGAGGCGGAGGAGTATCCCAGAGGTAAACTTCCTCTTCATCTTCTGTTTTTATGAGAGTGAAGTCTACCTCATTTTCTAGTGGATCTCCTAAAGTCGGTCGTTCTGATGCACGATCTGGAGATGGCGACCTCGTCGTCCTGTTTCCCTCGTCGCTTCCCTCGTTTGCGGGACCATCGGGAAAGACGATGCTGCGCGATCGCAGCTGACGGACGTTGGTCGCACCAATCGTGTTGTCCAACGACATTGAACGTGCGTTGGATGACCCCGCAACGGCCTCCTCACTAATACGCTGCCTTTTCATTAGCCTTGCCTCGTCTTCTTCGCCATCGACGCCCTCGACTGGGTGCTTGCCGCCTACCCGGACAGCACGACCTTGAGTAGTTGCCCTTCTAGTTTTTCTGCGGGTCCACCCATACCCGCGTCTCCTGTGAGCTTTCGGCCTGGGAGGAGGTGCGAGGGAGGCATTCGGAATGTCTGGACCTTATGTCAGCTCAATGCTGCACTTACGTATGGAGATCTAACTCACCTTCACGAGAATTTTGCAGACTTTCGGTGGAAGATCCCGAGGCCTGTGGCTGGCTATCAACATCACGAAAAAGTCGCAACGAATGTATTTAATAATAGCAAAAGTAATCTAATAAAATGATTTCATAAGCATTACATTCTAAAATAATACTTGTATTTTACTTGTAATGTAATTATAATGATTGTATATAAATGTAAGAAATATACAAAGTTTCTATTAAACTACAAACATGTTTTAGAGCAAGTAAGCTTACTAATAGTATTATTACAACATTACATGTGAGATACAAGCACTTAACTCCTATTATAATATGCTAAAATTATATTATAAGTTATTTGTAACAATAGTTGATTGATTATAATAGTCATAAAAGTAATACATTGCACTTGTAAGTTAATTACAATACTTTTAGTAAGATAGTATGTGATTATATATATTAATATTGTTAACAATCACCCTGTTAGGCTTATAATATAATTTAGTTTTATTTTAAAACTATATATCGAAGTGATTACATAATTGAGTACCGAAGATCGAGAGCATATAATGACGCACTTGCTCTCGTCACTCCTTTCCCTCCTACCTCCACCATCTCCCCAATCCTCTTCCCCCAACACTATGTCGTTGCTCTTGTTCTCTCTAGCCCAGTCCTCTGCCTACAAGCGTCCCACTGGCAGGCACTCTGCCTGCTTCAACATAGGCAATAAACATCACCGTACTCGTCTCTCCAATCTGCCGCTGCGATGCCCGCGCTGAGCCTCAGATTCTGCGATGATGCTACTGAGCCGACTACACCATCCTTCATCGTAAAGCGTAAGCAGCCAGTCCACTTCATAATAACTCGCACAATGGTTGCTCATCCCTCTCCTCCCAACTTTTGTCTCCCTTCCACCCCTCCTGCTCCTCGCTCCGCCACTTGCGTTGCCTCTCCTTCATTG